CTCATTTTTGAAACTGTGATGGCTGAAATTGGGGAGCTGGACAGAAAAGAGGTTGAAGACAGCTTAAATGATGATGAAAGAGAGAAGAGAGGAGCCTTAAAATTAAAGATAGCATCCTTTTTGAAGGCTGAAGAGATGAATTGGAGACTTATCCAGGGAGAAGTGGATTGAAGAAGGGAACCAGAACACTAAATATTTTCATGCTATGGCAACCCATAGGCATAGGTGTAATTTTGTGAATGAAATTTGGGTTTGAAATAAGCAAATTTGTGGAAATATTAAACTGAGGGAGGCTGCTAGCGGTTATTTCTCCAATCTGTGTGAAGAGGAGCATGTTGTCTGCCCTAAACTGGATGGTCTGCAGGTAAACAGAATCTCAGAGGAAATAGGCAGATGTTGGAAGAGGAATTCACGGAGGTCGAAGTATTTGATGGCTTGAATTTGTGTAATGGGAGTAAAGCTACGGGGCCCGATGGTTTTAACGTGAAATTCTTACAAAGATTTTGGTATTTATTTAAAGATGGTATTATGGGTATATTTAAGGAGTTCCATTCTTCAGAAAAATTTGTGAAATCTCTAAACACAACCTTCCTTACTCTTATTCCTAAAAAGAAGGGGAACTAATGAATTTAGAGAGTATATACTTATTAGCTTGATGGGATGACTCTATAGACTCATTGCAAAGGTGTTGGCAAGAAGGTTATCCAAGGTATTGGCAAGAAGGTTATCAAAGGTGCTTAGTGAGGTCATTGGGAAATGTCAACATGCTTTTGTTGGAGGGAGAAAAATCCTTTATGCAGTGATGGCTGCTGATGAAACGGTTGATGATCTGTTGGTTGAGAAAAGGGATGGGTTAGTATGCAAGCTTGATATGAAAAAAGCATTCGACAACGTTAATTGCAATTTGTTAAATACATGTTAATGAGAATAGACTTTGGGCTAAAGTGGGGAAGATGGATACATACGTGTATTTCTAATATCTCTTTTGCTGCTTTGGTTAATGGAGGCTCTTCTACTTTCTTTAAGGCTTCAAAAAGTTTAATACAAGGGAACCCTTTATCCCTCTTTTATTTATCATTGTAATAGAAGGCCTTAATAGGATGTCGGGCAGGGCAAATGATTTAAATTTGATGAGGGGTGTCTCGGTGGGGAGAAAGGAATCCTTATGTGTGTTGCTTTTGTTTTTGGGCGATGATACATTAATTTTCTCCCAACCGGATTTGAGGAATCTTCTACATTTGCTCTGTGTACTTATGTGCTTTCAAGCTGTATCGGGATTTAAAATCAATTTAAATAAATCTGAATTGGTAAGAATTGGTGGCAACGGTGAGGTTGGGATATTTGCTAGAGTTCTGGGATGCAAAGAAGTCAAATTCCCTTTTAAATACCTTGGGACACCGTTGAGTGCCAAATACAAGGATCTTATTACTTGGGAACTGATGATTGAATTGTTTGAAAAAAGACTTGCAAGATGGAAGAAGAATTTTTTTCGAAAGGGGTAGGTACACATTAATCAAAAGCACTTAGGCAAACCTCCCAATATATTACCTCTCTAACATTACTATTTCTGTAAAAGTTGCTAAGAGGTTGGAAGCAATACAAAGTAGATTCGTATGGGGTGATGAAGATGGGGCTCATAAATATCACTTAGTGAAATGGGAGGACGTTAAAAAATAAGTACTCTATGGTGGTTTGGGGATAAGATCATTGACTATGATGAATGAGGCTTTACGAGGGAAGTGACTGTGGAGATTTTTTGGGGAGGAAGAAAGATTATGGAGAAAAGTTGTGAATGCTAGATGGGGTGATTACTTGTCAAAAAGAGAAATTAATAGAATCCATATCCCTCAGGGAGAGGTTTGTGGAGGAAAATTGTGAGACAACGACCTAATTTCCAGCAATGCATTAAATGGAACCTAGGCAGAGGCAATAAGATTAGTTTTTGGGAGGATGACTAGCTAGAAGTGGGCTGTCTTATGTGCAAATTTCCCAGGATTTACAGTCTGGCACAATCTAAGAAAATGACAGTTGAGGAGGCGTACTAGATTAATAGGGAGAAAGTTGAATGGACAATTAATATCACCAGGAATTTGGATGACTGGGAAATCAGTGAGTATGAAGAATTATTGATGATTTTGGACACACAGCAGGTGAAGGCAGCTGCAGACCAGGTGTGGAAATTGGAAAAGAAAGAGGTTTTTACTGTGTGCTCCTATCACAGATTTCTGAATGAAAATGAGGATTATGGGTTGTTTGAATTTCCCCGGCTGTTCAAATATGAAAAACGA